CCGGTTAGATATGCTTGTGTCCATAAGTGTCGAGTATTTCCATTCTCAATCACCCATGGATGATTTTCGACGTTGAATTCTGAAATAACTGAACGCCATTGAATACCAAATTCGTCGGTTATCCACCAGGAATCCATGCATTTTGAGAATGCTGCTGTAAATTTTGGGTCACCAATGTTAGCTTGTGCATTGCGAGAAAGATGCCAAGAACATAATATGTGCTTAGCATTAGGGATAACAGATTTGATAGCCCTCTGCATTGCCCTATCCTCATCGGTGACAACTGAAATAGGCGATTTGTTCATCATGGCTTCTAAAAAATTATGTAGCACCCACTGAAAAGATTGGGATGTCTCGTTAACGATTATGACAGTAGCAAACACAATTATGTTATGGTGATGATTGATACCGACAATAGGCATAATTGGTCGACCATACAAATTATCTTTGTACGTTGTGTTGAACGCAATTACATCACCGAAGCATATGTAATCTGATCTCGATGTAGAATCCGACCAAATAAGATTATGCAAAGCCCCTGATTCATCTATCGAGTATGTCACAAAAAACCCGGGATCATCATGTTTCTTATAATCAAAGTAAACAATAAGCACATTCACATCTCCATCGATGATTTCCTTTCCTTTACCTCTTTGAAGTGCATTGTATAAGTCTTTGTGTGTAAATCAAACATTATGATAGCCCCCTGCTTGCTGCGTTAAATAGTTAATTACTTGTGATGTGCCAACACCGACCTTTTTCAATGTTGTTGCCTGATCGATATCAACCTTACTTACAACACTATTAGAACGCATAAACGGTGTCATAGCAGGTGTGCACAATGCATGATTATGTTTCTGATAAGACTTACTTATAACCCACTAATCGTTTGTATTTGTTGTTGTAACTATAACTCTAGCCTTGCATCTTGTTCTTGTGACTGGCGTATGAGCACGTTGACGATCAATAATATTGACTTTTGATACTCGAAACCCTTCTTTAGAACAACAAAATTCTTGTGTCTTCAAATTCTCTTCCACGTCAAGCCGTGTTGTTCCCTTACGTGCACTAAACCCATGTTCCCGTGCGAATCCCTTGTAAAAGTACCAAGCTTGATCACGTGAAGAGAAGAGCTTACCAACCAATATGTCAGATTCATCAACATTATGTACTTCATGGCATTCATCGGTTGGCTTAACATTGTATGCATCAGTATGATCCATGGCAAAAATTTTGTTGTGCAATTTCAGTGGTCCCAACAGGAGTTGATGGAGACATAAGTAAAGGTTCATTAAACAACAGGTTTTCAGTGGTGCTTTCAATAGGATGTGGTATTGGTAGTGGTAGTTGAAGGGTGGGTACAACATTAAATTTGCAGGACATATTCAGGTATGTACAATAACTACAACGTTCAATAACTTTAAAATAATAGGTAAAATTACAATGTAGGTGGTTAAAAGATACCTTTTTAATGACAAAATTAGTAAACACAAAGATTTGTTTCGATACATATGTAAACATATGTGTCGATACATTTTCCAAAAGTATCGACCTCAAAAACATCGAAACAAATAATTATAATGTAATAGGTAAATTAACAGTGTCGATACTTTAATATAAGTATCGAAACTTTTGGAAATAAAAAGAGAAGAAGTTATAGCGCCTAAAAAGTATCGATACTTTAAAAAAAATGTATCGATCCATAACAGGTAAAAATAAAAGTAACAATATTACAGGTAAAAATATGACAAAACCAGTCTCAAAATGACAAAACCGGTAAAACAATACCGGATTTGTTGTAAGTGTCGATAATTTAATATAAGTATCGACACTTTCTGAATTTAAAAGAGAAGAAGTTATAGCGCTTAAAAAGTGTCGACACTTTATGAAAATGTATTGATCTATAACAATATAACAGGTAAAAATATGACAAAACTGGTAAAACGCTACCGGATATGTTGCAAGTGTCGATAATTTAATATAAGTATCGACACTTTCTGAATTTAAAAGAGAAGAAGTTATAGTACCTAAAAAGTGTCGATACTTTTAAAAAATGCATCGATCCATAACAATATAACAGGTAAAAATATGACAAAACCGGTCTCAAAATAAAAATACCGGTAAAAGGATATCGGATATGTTTGAAAGTGTCGATAATTTAATATAAGTATCAACACTTTCTGAATTTAAAAGAGAAGAAGTTATAGCGTTAAAAAGTGTCGACACTTTATGAAAATGTATCGATCGATAACAATATAACAGCTAAAAATATGAGAAAATAAGTCAACATAAAGTATCGACACTTGTTAAATTTGTGTCGATACACTTGTCCAGATGAGGTGTGCGCATAAACTGTCGATACATTTATAAAAAGTATCGATCCAAATACAATGAAACCGATAATTATTAACAGGTTACAATGTAACCGGTAAAAATATACCTGTTAATTAGCAAATATGTCTACATTATGTATCGACACTCTTTAAATATGTACCGATATTTTTTTCCAAAATGAAAGCACAAATAGGTGCACGCATAAAGTGTCGATACATTTAAAATTGTATTGATCTCAAAAACATCGAAACCGATAATTATAATGTAATAGGTCAATTTACAATGTAACCGGTTGAAATTTATCGGTTTTATGAGAAAATAGGTCAATATAATTGCTACCTATTACATTATATAAGCGCTACCTAATATGTTATTGTACTTGATAATATTTCCGGTTAAATGCCTATTTTATTATATAAGCGCTACCTATTACATTATATAAGCGCTACCTAATATGTTATTGTGCTTGATAATATTTCTGGTTAAATGATATAGCATAATCAGTCTAAATTTTAACCGGTCACACCATTTTTTAGCCGTTTTTTAGGCGCCGCACAACAGAAGTACCCCGTCTGTTCCCCCCTTTGGTTTGCTTGAGCTTCTCTATCGGGATTCTTTTGGTCCCCCGTATGTCCGTTTAATACATCTCTATCCAGCTCAGTTGGTAGAGCACAAGGTTCTTAACCTTGAGGTCGTGGGGTCGAGTCTCATGGAGGGCATATCATAATTCGGAGGTCTTCTACGGAAGCTGCTCTCAACCTGGTGTTGGGGGCAGCCTACTATCTTACCTCCCCTTACCCCATTACATATGGGAACAAGGGACAACCATTTTAATGTACTGACTTTAGCCTCATTTATTTTCTACATAAATAAAAAAATCAAATTTTAATACTCAATTTCTATACTATGCAAGGTCTAAGTTAAACTTCTCCCGATGATGAGCTCAAAGTATTTGGGCATTGGGTACATTTTCTTAAATCAATTTTTAATTATTACCATGGTTGTTGCTGTTATTATATTATTATTATTATTATTATTATTATTATTATTATTTATTATTATTATTATTATTATTATTATTATTATTATGTTTTTCTTTGTTTCAGTTGTTTAAAGGCTTGCATTTGTTTTCCTTTTTTGACATATTTATTTTTATATATTATTGAATTTTTATGTTTGGTTTTTTAATATTATTATCATTAGTGGTAGTATTACTAATATTTGGCTAAAACCAGACAGGGACTGGCACAATACAAAATGGCTGAATGGAAATGAAATGGGGCCTCCATATCTAGAGTTGAAATTCCATTTTAGCTTTGCACCATATATTTGTAGGTGGAATCATTACTGTGGGATTTAAGTTTTTCTTCACATCATATTCATTTTGCTTTTGTTCAGCAGCAATATTTTATGGGATCCATTTCCACAAACTTTATTGGTTTCGACATTAATTTTAATGTTTCTAATTTAGAATACGTAATCTCCATTGTACATTTTTGTTTTATTTGGAATTCTTAAATTTCAAGCTTACAATTATTACAAAATCTAGCTACCGCTTGATATCTTAATGCTTTCGGTACTATTGATTACGTTTTCGTTCACCGGGGGATATTGGAGTTGTAATTGAGCAGAGCTGGCCTCTAATTCTAAATTTTATTTGAGCTCAATCAACTAGTTCAAGCTCAAATTGAAATAATATCAAATTATTTAAATCTAACTCAACTATTTTTGTTTAATAATTTACATTTTCAAATTTAAGCTTAAACTCGTTTCATACACAATTATTTTTAAAAATAATATAATAATAATAATAATTAAGTGTAAATAATATTATCGTACATGAATATTAATCTAATACAGAGAGACGTTTAGAGGATATGTCGAAGGCTTCAAGAGAATTTTGAAGGAGAAAGGATTCAGAGGCTTTCAAAAGGATTCCAGAAGATAGCTTGAGCGAATGATCGCTTGTGCAAAGGTTCCGAGGGAATTTGTGTGGAGGATCTTTCGGAGCTATAAAATAATTCACATCAGATCTGTAGAGGTATCTATGACTATAAAAAGTCTCGTTAAGATATAATCGTCAGGTCAATATTGCTTGAGAACGTTGTACGTTTATCTCTTAAAGATACAACAACCGTTCATTGGCAATAGCATCACTCCAATTTTACCAATAAATTAATTATTAAAACCATAATTAATTATTCAAAACTCTAATTTTACCAATAAATTAGTGATTTGATATTAAAAATATTAATAATAAGAACTTGATTAGTCTTTCAAACTGCTTCAATGGACTATTAAGATACTTTAGTTAAGTTGATGACTTGAACTCGAACTCAACTTGAAAATTATCGAATGAAATTCAAAGTGAGGTAGGCAGATGTTAAGAGAGTTGAAGATGAGATGCAAAGTTGAAGAAAGAAATATTCTTATGTTGGTCCAATATATATGCAGTACTTATGCACGAATAATTGAATTGATTGTATGCTGGGGAATGGGTTGATGGAGAAACAAGATCCGGTGATCTTTTCCCATTTTCAGAGCCACTACAACTCCATTCTCCAATTCCAAACATATCTTTCAAACATGTGCATGCTTCTTACAACACTACACCCATCATTCAACACTCACTGTTAGGCTTAATGCTTATCAGCTTCAGCATCCAATTGAGGGACCACTTTAATAGAAATTTGAAGGTTTTAACTTTGACCATGCGGTCTGCAACAAGCATGAGAATGTAATCTTTTTCTAAAACTTTCTGCAACACATGTGGGTACATAGAGACACCATTACAGGCAATAAGTGAACCCCATGCCATGCATGTCAACATCTTGAAATCTTTATCCTCTTCGATTTTCCATCTGCTTCAAATCTCTGGGGAAACCCATGTCTTGTTACAATCACAAATTACATTGTAATCACTGAATGCCAAAAATGCTGTCGAACATGAGCCTAACTATTACGAGTGTGGACCCAAAAATCAATAATTTTGGAGGCCGTCTTTCATTATTGCCTACAATTTCTGTTTGACTTGGAATTTAATTAACGATCTGCCTTTTTTGGACTTCATCATTACCCGTCTGAACTTTTGCTGTATTATAAGACTTCAAGCGATGAAATCAAAAGCAAATATCTCTAGTGTCTCAATCAATCAATCAGACAATGCTTTTGCTTAAGAAAAATAAATAAATCAAATTTCCTATCGGATAAAATCCTAAAAAAATACTATTATCCTGAAATCACGCTGCATTCGACAGCTAGGTTAGTGTTATTAATGTCTGACGATTATATTTATTTTATAGTTTTTTTTGGAAAAAAATGGTTGGGGTAAAGGAAACCACGTCTCAACTTAAACTTAATCTAGTAACCAAACTAATGCAATTAGGCCACGTGCCAAGTGGACAACATTTCAAATGTTCATCTGTCTCATTTGAAGCAGCACCTAATATTTTAATAATTTAAACTAAACTTGAGTCCTTAATTAATAAAGATAGGATGTGTATGCATGCATTGTTTACCAGGTTGTTTGAAGAGTAAAAGTGGTGGGTGGGTGGATGGGTCGCACTCGAGGTTCACCCCAAATAACCTCAATAGTTTCTTTGGGTTCCCACCTTGTGTTTGATTTTCAGCCATGCTTCCTGCAAATTCACACACACATGGTCCCATGTGATCATCAATAACCCTACCCCATTATATGTCATTACCCAACGCAAACAACACAATTTAAAATATATACTTATAATATTAAAATTATGGTTTAAAGTAAAAAAAAACCTAAATTATGTCATTCTCTAATTTAAAGTATCTAAATTATTTTTTATCAAAATAACTCTTTAAGTTATTATATTTAATTATTTAAGTATTTAAATTATTCTTAATTTAAGTATTTAAATTATTCTTAATTTAAGTATTTAAATTATTCTTAATTTAAGTATTTAAATTATTCTTAATTTAAGTATTTAAATTATTCTTAATTTAAGTATTTAAATTATTCTTAATTTAAGTATTTAAATTATTTTTAATTTAAGTTATGTACTTTTTTGACTTGAAGTATCTCAATTATCTCTTTATTAAAAGGAATACTTAAATATGACATGTTAATATTCATTGATAAAAAAAGTTAAAAAAATAACAGAACTTAAAATATCAAGATAAAAATATTTAGAACATAAATACTATCTCTATCTATTATAATTGCAATTTATTGATTTCCATGGATTAAACTTTTGTAAAAATTTAGTTATTATTATTTTAAATAATTAAAATAATACAATTTATATTTAATATTTAAATGATTCAAAATTTTAAAAATATATATTTTCAAATGTTTACGAGCAATATAGTTTAAATAATAAAAAATAAAATTTTATTTTATGAATAAAATTTAATAAATGACTATTTTATTGGAACTGAGAAAGTACGAATATTTTGATAAGGAGATAATGTTTACAATGCGAGAGAATTATATACCTGCATGCAGACAATCATGTTGATATGAGACGTTAGCCCCATGGCATTGCCCTGGAATAAGCCCAAGATAAGGACCCCTTTCACACAAACCCCGTTCATTGCCGTGGCCGCCGTTATTTCCCATCGCGGCGTTCCCCCCATCCGCCGCTGCACCGCGCCTCCTCCACCCTATACACAATCGCTCGGCATCAAAACGGTGTCGTTGGAATAAAACAACGTCACCGGCATCGAGTTTGTTCTCCTTGACGTATCTGCTCCACCCTTTGGTCAACACGTAGCTTTGGCTACTGTTCCAATACGAGTAACGGAAACACCAACGCTTGCCCGACTCGTCCTCGAAACTCAGCAACAAGCCTTTATCGAGTGAGTCACCGCCGGCCAAGGGGAAGTGCTTCTCCGCGTGTTGCTTCGGAATAACGAGGCGGTTCAGCTTGCCGACGTCGCTGGGGGTTAAGGGCTTTTCGAACATGGGTTCGAATTGTTGGTATTCATTTGGGTTTGAAAAGAAGACCGAAGGGTTTCTGTGAAGAGTTGAGGAAGGGGACCTTTGGGTTGGTTCCATGACATGAAAGAGTTGCTTTTGTTTAATGGGAGTGGTGAATGGACATTTAGGGAGGAGAAAGGAAAGCGTGGAGAAGTGAGGGTGAACGAGGCGTGATGATTATGGCTTTGATGTGGAAACTATTTGATTTTGACCCTCCACAATGAGAGAGAAAAACAGAGCAAGATGATGAGATCAAAATGAGCACGGGAGACTACAAGCTTTTTGCTCCGCGGGTGAAAAAATTACATAAAGTCAATGATTATGAAAAAAAATAGAAATAATCCTTTTCGTCCTTAAAGTTCTTTAAATTTTAAAGTAAGCTTTTTCTATCGGTTGTAAATTAATCATGAAATTTTATTATATTATTTTGAAATAGTCATTAAAATTAGTAATTATTATAAAAACATCTCTATCTTTATCGGCTTTTATCAAAATAGCGTGTAATGATATTGTATAATTGTTTTTTCTTCTATTTTATTTATAGTAGCTATGAAATCTGGGACTTTTTTTTCCTTAAAAAAGAATAAGTTATGTAAATGATTATTAAAGTTTGAGTAAGTCTTTATTTTTCCCTAAAGATTTAAAAATAATGAATTGATTACGAATGTTATTCGTTTATAATAAAACAATCACTTGTAATTAATAATCATTAGTGTATGACAAAATATTAATGTGACATGTTATAATCACGTTGACCGCGCTTTTAACTCTTGAAATAAAATTTAAAAAAGATGTACCACCATCCACTTCCCACTACTGTCCCAATACAACCTTGACAAACACAACACGGCACAACCGAACAACTCCCTTTACAACACCAAGTCAACACACCAAGGCCGTGCATGTATTTTTCATCCATCTTTATAAGCTGCAAAACATAAGAAATAGGCTTTAACAAATACAAGAAACTGTAACAGCTAACAACATAGAGATCCCTCGACCATGAGCATCCATCAGTTAAATCCCCCTCCATTATCATTGATCTACCTTAACTCTCAACCTTCACATTGTTAACACCTCCATTCAAACTCCAACAATCACCATCGACCAACCCAAAAGCAATATCAACCCTTGTAACCACCACTCTCAATCACCCTCACCATCACTGGTGTAAACAATAATTTTTTTCTTACTATTTTTATTATTATTATTTTTATTATTATATATCATTATTATTAAATAAATATATATATATATATATATATATACAAAGGCCCAAGATCGGGGCCTGATTACAACTCTGGCCCAACAATAACCAAACACGGTGGCCCAGATCCCTAAAGCCCTAGGGTTTCACAACCCTAGGTTTATATCCTGGCCGCCACCTTCAAGCTTCAAGAACATCCACGCGGCGCCACCACTGCCTCCAGCTGCCTTGCCGACGCTTCAGTTTCAGATGGTCCAACCAGTTGCTGCCGACGCTGCTGCTTCCACGACGCCGGCCTCGTCGAGCTTTCCAGAAGCCAGCTGCCTCACCAAATCAGAGCTCTATGGTGAGTCACCGCCATAGCTTGGTGACTCACCAAAGATGCTACCCATGGGACCGGTCTGAGGAGTACACTGTGGTGGCTATAAAAGCCACCACTGAACCTGCAAAAAAAAAAAAAAGAAGAAAAAAAGAAGAGAAAAAATCGGAAAACAGAAAAGAAAAAAAAAACGAAAGGAAGGGATAACCACAGCAAGCCAAAATAGAGACCAACAGCCACGGAGCAACCAAACAGAGAGCAGAATACGAGAATAACTCAACAACCAATAACCAGAAAGAAGAGGAAAAGGAGCATCTTACCATTGTAGAAGCCTTTAAACCGTCTGGAACCACCGGAATTATTGTAAAATCGAAGGTAAAACCTTCGATTTATTTTAGATCTACAACGATCTAGAGCTTTTTAGGACAAACGGAGGCCATATTCGGCCTTAGAAGGTCGAGATCTATGCTCTAGAGTAATTTAGGAGTTCCGGCCACCGTGAGCGGTGGCCGGCCACCGTGAGCGGTGGCCGGCGGTGGCGATCGGCGCCGGAAACGGAGGCCGGTCTTCTCTTCCGGCGAGAGAAAACGAGAGCTTCTCTCTCTAAAGAGAGAGAAGCAAAACCAGAGAAGTGAGAAAAATGGCCCTTAGGGCCGGCTTAAATGGGTATAAATACCCTCATCAAAACGACGCCGTTTTGGTGAGGGTATCTGTGTAATTTCACCTATGGGTAAACCCCATCCGCAGTCCATCAGTTTTATAACTTTACATTTTAGTCACTAAATCAATTTATAATCTTTTTAATTCGGTTCTTTAATTTTATTTTATTTTATTTTAGTCCTTATCTGCATATATATTTATTTAGGGTAAATACCTAATTTAGTCCTTTACAGTTTAGTAAATATCATTTTAATCCGAATTAATTAAATAAGGCTAAATTATATTATTAGCACTTAGATCTTTTTATCATTCGAGTTGGAACCTTTAATTTTAATGATTATTATTTTAATCACCTATTAATAATTAGGACTAATTACATCATTAGTAATTATATTTTTATAATACTATAAATAAGGGCTGTAAATTTTAATTTTTAATATTTTTATTTATTTTAATATATTTTAGTCCCTATTTAATTACAATTTAATTTGTATTATTATCATTTCAAATCCAATATGTTTAAATGATTACTTTAATTATTATTATTATCTTAGTCAGATAAATATATATAATAAATAATATTTATTTATTTATTTATTTGTTTTCTATGAAATAAAAATCCTATTTATGAACTAGATATGTTTAATTTATATTTTAGATATTTATTTATTTTTTAAATATTGAAGGAAAGAGCTGTCTTAAAACAACTAGAAGCATTTTTCTAATATTTTTAAATAAATAAATATCTTACTATATTAAAATAAATTTTTTTAGTTATTTATTTATATCAAAGAAAAGAGCTGTTTTAAAGCACCTATAAGCTCTTTTCTGATATTTCTAAATAAATAAATTTCTTATTTATATATATTAATATATTTTCTTAAAATTATAAATTTGAAATAAAAGGATTATGAATTAAATATATTTGAATTTTTTATTCTAATAATAGAGACAATTTATAGTTAATAAAGTACCAATTTTGGGCGTTGTAGGGGTGCTAATCCTTCCCTAAACGTAACCGACCACGAATCCCTTTTTATTATTAAAAAGAATGAATTTTTGGTTATAAACGCATATCAGTTCATTTTTTAATTGATGTTTTCTTAAAACTCTTTTAAAAAATAATTTTTAGGTATTCGACCTACCTGACCCAAAAGGCCGATGGCGACTCCCAAATTATTTTCAAAACCATTTACTCACTTCAATTTTCCCGCCAAGTATAATATTTCGTGCCCGGACAAAAACCAGTTACGACAGCTTGGCGACTCTGCTGGGGACCGGTCAAACTTTTAAAAATCAATTATAAATTGTCTCTATTAATTATAAAAATTCATATATTTAATTTATAATTCTTTTATATATATATATACATATTATTTTTATAGTATTTATATATATTATTTATATTTCATTTTATTGCAAGTATTTTATTATTTATTTTTCTGTCAGAGGTATGAACATTTCTCCTCACACACAACACTTGCATTGCATAACATAAAGCTCTATAATTGAGTTTGTCCCTTTTAAGTGGGAGTGAAAGCGACGTCTTCGTGAGAATTTATTCTCTGTGTCAGACCTAGCAAGTAACTTTCGGGGTTCATATGCTCTATGTCTTCGTGAGAATTTATTCTCCGTGTCAGGTATAGAGAAATGTATCCCCTCGAATTGAACTCGATCCGTTTAAGTCTGTAATGGACTAGGATTGAGGGTTGACAGCCCAAGGGGGCATCAACAAGGACAATTCAAGTACCTTTACTCCTAGAACTGAAACTTTGCATATAATAAACCCTAGAAATTCACCTAATCTAAGACAGTACTGAACCTTTATTCATAGGTGTACACAAAGGAGAAATAAGCTCTAGCTTTTAATTTATTATTTTTCTCCCTGAATAAATGCATGCGAACTAGAAATCATGCGGTTAGGTTAATTTTTCAAAACAAAGCATGGAACTAGAAAGCATGAGGTTAGGATTTATTATATACCATGATAAATAAATTTTTTTCTTTCAATTAGTTGGTATTAACCATTTTATTTTTTCTTATTTTCCCATGTATGTTATTTTTGATCTAATTTGTTTAAATTATTTTCTTTTGTTTGCATTACATGATTATGACCAAAAGGTGTTAACTGAAAAGACTGTTCATCAAATTAGAAAGAAATCATAAATGGACAAAAAGTTCTATGATCAAACAAAATATGATGCGGCCAAGAAAAGACATCCCGAGGGAACTCTGAGGATAGAAGAGAGCTATGCACCTAGAGATCATGTGTTCATTAAGGAGCAAGAGGAGATATGAGAAATAAGAGAGAAGATGTCCAAGATGATGGATATAATATCTGTTTTGGCCAAAAGAGAAGAGATTCCTGCACAGAAAGAGAGAAAGCTTAATAAACATAATCCTGCAATCTCAAATATGCAAGGGACTTCGATTCTTAACCAATTTGAGAAATTACAGACAGTCATCATTAGTATTCACAAATCGTCTGGAGATATCAAAGAAATGGTGACAACTGTACAAGCTCCCAGAGAAGAGAAGAAATCATGTAACCTGAAATCATCGAAGTTTAGTATGCTCCCGATATCTAAAACTCAGGTTCAATTCAAGACAAAAGGCGGTTCTCATATTGATGCTATACCTATATCATATAAAGAGTTGTATGAGAAGCTACTTGAAGCACGAGAAGTGGATCCATATTATATAAAACCGTTCCAACCTCTGTATCCAAATTGGTATGACATCAACGTTCATTGTGAATATCATGCCGGAGCTCAAGGACATACCATCGAGAATTGTCTTGCCTTCAAACGCCGAGTCAAAAGTCTTTTAGATCATGGAACCTTACAATTTATGGTAAATGATCGACCTAGTTTAGTAACCGAGGGTCCTGATAGATTAATACCAAAAGTCTTCAAAGGTAAGAATATCAGTAGGGGCGCCCAAAAAGAAGAAGATTTGCTGAGGTTTAAAGCTCAAATACGTCATTTGAAGATTGAAAACGATAAATTGAGCACCAAAATGGAAACCATACATGAAGACTTCCAGAAGGTCAGTCAAGCCT